AGTAAGAATTGTAGCACGTTTATTCTCACTTACTGGGACTGAATAATTAATATCAGTATCAATATTGTTTTTTCAGATATTTTTACAGAGTTTTTCATATTTGCACTATTTATGCTCAGTCCATATGGTATTCACTAAAAGATTTAGGCCAATTGCATTTCACTAGACAATATGTTCACCAGGCTATAGCAGCATTGACTGGAGCTCTATGCAGATGAATTAGAATAAACCTTGCAATCCACAAAATCAGCAATATGTAATGGCATTAGAAAACAGTAACAGCAATGATAATCAATACTGCAACAACTTCCCTGTAAACAGTAGCCTTAGAGTGCACTCTATATGAGTGGCAGTAATGAAATTTAAAACTCCCTAAAGACGTACTTCTTACCATGAACAATAGGCAAATTCTTGAAAAGCAGCTATCCAAATAAACTGTCATTAGCCCTAGTTCTTCAGCCGGTTAACATTGGGGCCCAGTCTTTACTGTAGTGCACATTAATACAGTCCCAGTAAAGTCTGCGTGCAGTAAATAATGCTGCTAATTAGATAGCTAGTCCCTATGAGCTCAGTCTCTGATAGCAGCAACAGGTTACTGGCAACAGTGTCCTCTCACCAGTCCCAGCAATACAGCAGTAGGGGTCCCAGTATCCAGATGTCAGCTCACCTCTGGATCTGCCTGGACTGACCTCTGTCATCAGCACATGACTGCATGTTTGTATTAGGTTGATGTACACACAGGGGCAGCAAAGTGCACACCTTGGTCTCCTCACAGCAAAGAGGAAATTTCTTAGTATTCAGCCTGTGAATATACAGTACAGCTCTCTCTCTTTATTCCCTGCTCACATTGGCAATTGTAGGCCAATTGTCCATTAATTGCCACAGTACAGTTTCTTTCCCAAACTTCATCTACCATGATTCAATGCTGCCAACCCCTCAAGTCATTTGAGTTCCTTCTGCATGCCAGCTCCCCCTGGTGGATGGGGACGAGGTAGTGTTCACCCATTCAGCTGAAGTCCATTGCAAGCACAGAGAGCACTGCAACACAGTTTCCTAAATCACTCCCTGTATCTAGCTAAGCACCTGGTTACATAGTAAAGCTAACATTTAGGCAAAAATGAAAATCCACCAATCAAAAGTGCAATGTAATGATGAAAGATGTGGCTTACAGTTGCAAGAAAAAGTATGTGAACCCCTTGGGATTACGTGGAGTTTTGCATGAATTGGGCATAAAATGTTCTCTGAACGTCATCTAAGTCCCAACAAAAGAAGAACACAGTCTGCTGAACATAATACTACACAAACATTAGATGTTGCCACTGTTTAATTGCACATAACATAACGTAAACATTCACAGGGAGGAAAAAAAATATGTGAACCTTTGGACTTAATAACTGGTTGACCCTCCTTTGGCAGCAATAACCTCAACCAAACGTTTCCTGTAGTTGCAGATCAGACCTGCACAACGATCTGGAGTAATTTTGGACCACTCCTCTTCACAAAACTGTTTCAGTGTAGCAATATTCTTGGGATGTCTGGTGTGAATCACTCTCTTAAGGTCATGCCACAGCATTTCAATCGGTTTGAGGTCAGGACTCTGACTGGGCCACTCCAGAAGGCGTATTCTGTGCTGTTGCAGCCATTGTTTTGTTGAATTACTTGTATGCTTTGGGTCATTGTCCTGTTGCATCACCCATCCTCTGCGGAGCTTCAGTTGGCGGACAGATGGTCGTACGTTCGTACGTTTTCCTGCAAAATGTCTTGATAAACTCTGGAATTAATTTTCCCATCAATGACAACAATCCATCCAGGCCCTGAGGCAGAAAAGCAGCCCTAAACCATGATGCTCCCTCCGCCATGTTTTACAGTGGGGATGAGGTTTTGATGTTGGTGTGCTGTGCCTTTTTTTCTCCACACATAGTGTTGTGTGTTCTTCCAAACAACTCAATCTTGGTTTCATCTGTCCACAGTATATTTTGCCAGTAGTGCTGTGGAACATTCAGGTGCTCTTTTGCAAACTTCAAATGTGCAGCAATATTCTTTTTGGACAGCAATGGCTTCCTCCGTGGTGTCCTCCCATGTACTCCATTCTTGTTTAATGTTTTCCTTATTGTAGATGTGTCAACAAAAATGCTAGCATGTGCCAGAGATTTCTGTAGGTCTTTAGCTGACACTCTGGGATTCTTCTTTACCTCATGCAGCATTCTGCGCTGTTCTCTTGCAGTCATTTTTACAGGACGACCAAGCCTAGGGAGAGTAGCAACAGTGCTAAACTTTCTCCATTTGTAGACAGTCTGTCTTACCGTGGACACATGAACATCAAGGCTTTTGGAGATACTTTTGTAACCCTTTCCAGCTTCATGCAAGTCAACAATTCTTGATCGTAGGTCTTCTGAGAGCTCTTTTCTGCGAGGCATGATTCACATCAGACAGTGCTTCTTGAAACCAGTAAACCCAAAACAGGTGTGTGTTTTTTATGGGCAGGACAGCTGTCAGCAACATATCCAATATCATCACACTGATTGGAGTCAAGGTTGGCTCACTCCTGGCTCCAATTAGCTCTGGGAAAAGTCATTAAGCTAGGGCCTCACATACTTTTTCCTCCCTGCACTGTGAATGTTTACATGTTATGTGCAATTAAACCATGGCAACATCTAATGTTTGTGTAGTATTATGTTTAGCAGACTGTGTTCTTCTATTGTTGTGACTTAGATGACGTTCAGAGCACATTTTATGCCCAATTCATGCAAAACTCCACGTCATCCCAAGGGGTTCACATACTTTTTCTTGCAACTGTACCTAATAAACTGTTGTATTTGTCTTAAAGAGAGAGAAAACTATAGTGTTGGTTTACTATCAACTGGTCTCCCACTTCACTACGTGGCTGACCTGCACAATTGCAGCCGCTCTCCCCCCCCGCCCCTTTTGGGATGGGAATGAGACCGACTCTCCCTGGCAGTGAACCCTACCTCTTTCCACTTTCTCTCCTTTACTTTACTTTCCCTCTCCTAATTCATTCTTTCTCCATCTGTTCTTTCCCTATTTTCACTTCCCCTTGAAGATGCAGGGGAATTTTGCCTTCTTTTATCCTAGGTGCCTGCTGGACATCATTCTCCACAATTGTATATTGAGTGGGCGTCCTTTGACCGGATCTCCATGGCCCTAGCTTTTCAATATATGGAGTTACACCTTTTTTTTCCCCTCACAAACATAATCTTTTTGGACTAGGTTATAAGATACCCTGTGGGGTGTATACTGATGTTTGCTAAGCCGAAAGGTCACCCCAGTTAACCCTTTGAGGACTATAAGATTTTGGAACGCCAAAAGAATCAATTTTTTGTTTTTAATGTTCGTACACTTCAGTTGCTTTAACTAAGCCATTTCATGAAATAATTGGCAAAAAGCTAGATCCATTTGTTGATAAGAACTAATATTTTGACTCAAACCAAAAAAAAAAAGTATTTTAAGTTCTTAATCAGATGATACAGGCAATTAAAAACATGGGACAAATACGTCCCTTGGTCCTATATTTTTGTCAATTGTCATAGACAGCACTGTTCTAGGTTACTATGCAGACCCCTGTAAGGGTCAAAAATTGCATTGATATACAGGATATTCTTTTTTCTACCAATGTATACAGTGTTATTATGTGCTTTGTTAACTTTTTTCAATAAAGCTCTTTTAGCACCAGAAAAAAAAAAAAAAAAAAAACTATAATGCTGGGATGGCTATATATCTTTTTCCCCTGTCATCTAGTCAAACAGATTGTGCTTTGCTGCTTACATACTTTTTCTTCATTTGGCACACAATCCTTCTTGACTACTCAGCTTGGCCATGCATTCTACGCTGATGGTTAATGGTAGTGTACTCTAGCTGCTCCATCTATTAAATTCACTGTCCATTGATTGGCACAAGACGTCTCAGCAGGCTATACTGCTGTTTTTAATGGTTTTGCTCAGATGATTAGTTAGTTGCAAGGGTTATTGGCACAAGCAGTTCTAGAAACTGCACTTATATCAAAAGCTGTTTGCATCCCCACAGCTGAGCAATTTTGAAGTTAGGAGATGCTGAGCTAGATCATATGATTCATACTTTGCGAAAGTATTTAAACCATTAAATGCATTATAATTGATTTCTACATGTTGTCATTACTGTCTGTGCCTATTATGTGTACTTTTTAAAGGAGCTAAAACAGCAACTTTACATTTTTAGCAGTTCTTATATACCAGGTGAAATTTTAAACCATGCTGACAACAGAGGTGCCTGTCCTGGTGGGTTAAATGAAAGGTAAAGTAGAGAGGGTGGATGATTTAAACCAGTCCAAATGGCAGCTCACTTTATCTTATATAAACACTCACATGGATGATGTTATAGCATTAGAGTGTGGGAATAGTCTGCCAATATCCAGGAAATACACTTGAAAATGCTGCAGTATATGGAAATGCTGACAGGTGTAACAATATATAGGTAATTGTAGGGAAAAAATGGAAATCCTTACAGTAAACTACCATTGTTGATAACAAATGGCCAATGAAAGTACACAAAACACTGGCAATCCTAACACCGTATGGGTAAAAACTATAGAAAACAAACACGCAATTTTAACCAGTTCCGCGCCAGGGTGGCACAGGCGTCATAATCATATATATATATATATATATATATATATATATATATATATATATGTATAGATATATGTGATTTTGCAGTTCCGGGTAGGGGGCCTACTTGTGCTGCCATTCACAGCCTCAGCTGTCAATCACCGAGTCCCGGATGGTGATTACTCGCTGGCGCACAGTGATTGCCAAGCATCTTCGAAAGGGGGGAGAACTGTTTGTAAACAAAACAGTTCTCTCCCCAGTCAGCTCCTGCAGTGTGCTTACATACAGTGAAGCACAAACACAGTCCAGTATGCAAAACAGCACACAGTTAACTCTTTTATCGCCCCACATGTTAACCCCTTCCTGCCCAGTGCCATTAGTACAGTGTCAGTGCTTTTTATTAGCACTGATCACTGTATTGGTGTCACTAGGGATCAGGGGCGGACTGACCATTTGGAAACTTGGGCGCTGCCCGAGGGCCCGGGGTCAGTAGGGGGCCCCATGATATGCCCCTGGTACCTTTTTCATAGGCTTTTTTGAGTTTGGGCAAGGACACAGGGTCCACATGATCCCCTAATGCCCGGGGGCCCCATTAGTTGTCAGTCCGCCCCTGCTAGGGATGTCAGTGACACCAAGTTAGTTCCCCCCAGTGACAGAATGCCCACTGCAGTCCTGCTATAAGCCACTGATCGCTGCCATTACTAGCGAAAAAAAACAAATTCCAGTATATTTACCTCCATTTGTAAATGCTATAACTTTCAAGTAAACTAATTATTTTACATGTATTGGGATTTTTTTCAGCAAAGACATGTAGCAGAATACATTTTGGCCTAAATTTATGACAAAATTGTATTTTTTTATTTTTTTTTTACTGGACATGTTTAATAGCTAAAAGTCAAAAATTGTGTTATTTTTTCTGAAACTCGGCAGTCTTTTTTTTATTTATAGCACAAAAAATAAAAAATGCACAGGTGATCAAATACCACCAAAAGAAAGCTCTATTTGTGGTAAAAAGGACATAAATTTAATTTGGGTGCAGTGTTGCATGACCGCGCAATTGTCAGAGTAACGCAACGCCGTATCGCAAAAAATGGCCTGGTCAGGAAGGGGGGTAAATCCTCTGGAGGGCAAGTGGTTAATTAACATATTGGCAGTCATCAATGTTGGCCAATACAGTAACAATTGTGGCCAATTAGTGAAGCGCAAATTTGTCAGGGTTCAGTTTGCTAAGGGTTTGGCAAATTGTTTTTAAAATTCACCAAAACTGAACTTAGAAGTGATTACCACTGAGTGTTATGGAGGGGTGAATCTTGTATTTACATTCTGGCCATTTATAGGACTGATAAGCAAACTATTGTTAAACAAGGAATACGGAGCTGGGCACTGCCATGGCGGGCATGCACCAATGCAAGAAAATAAATAAACCAAAACTACCATAAAGCAAGCAGAAGGATATTGATGCAGCTTCAAGGTCAACACTGAGAATACATGAATCCTTTTAATAGTATGCCTTAAAGTACATGGTGTTATGGAACTGGAAAGTTTTTATCGATAATCTCAGTGACAGCATACACTGGCAGTGCATTTTTTTTTTTTACAATTAGCTTGGCTGACATCCGGCAGCAGCATTCTAATCTGATTCATTTCAGTTTGAAAAATAGTCTTTTTTTCTGATTGCCTTAGAAGTGACACAGTCTTTTTCATCAAGCAGTGATAGACCCACTTTAACACAAGCATCTAGAATTTGTGCAGTAGTTTGCTGTCCCCGTTCTCATGTCTATTTTTAATATGGCAGAATTGGCCAAAAGATACTTGAGAAAATAGGTGGATGCCTTACTATATGAATTAAGAGTCCACAGAAGACACAGCAGTATACAATTGGTTGTCAGCAATATATTTCTTCAGAGCAAGGCTATACTTTTACTAGGGACAAAGATCAGAGTCTAGGGCTTTTCTACAACAATTAAGATACTGCAGATAATACAGTAGTGTACAATTGGCCAGCAGCAGGTCAGTTTTAATTTGGGATAACTGACCTAACTGATGTCACTTTTATTTTATTTATGGGAATGGGGGGTAGGGAGGGCATTGTGGTGAATGTGACTGATATAATGTGAGGTAGTTTAGGTGAGGTAGTTTTTGTCCCTTTCAAATGATGCAGCAGTGTGCTGCAAACAAACAGCAGCTCCAAGAACAGATGAACAGTAAAAAGCAAATGCTCCATTATGAGCACCCCAAACTTTAAAAAGGCTCCATAAACATAAAGTAAAGAACCCACAAAAGGAATGAAAACCCCAAAATACCACCCCTGAAACTTAAAGCCATGTTTTCACAAACAAGCCTTGTGGCAAAAATAGCTGCTTTACTGAAAATCAAGACTCCAACAACATAAAAAAAAAAACCAAAACACTATGTCTTCCAAAAAAGGAAAATCCCAAAATAAAAACAAACAATGGCTAACGATCTTGCAGGAATACATTTTTCAACAACTACTGTATAGTACTATCAGCATCAGTATTCAGTTGTGATATATTCTTCAACCAGTCGATGGCAGTGTTTATACATTTGTAGCTGTGTCTATGGTGAAACTCTATGTCTTTTCTCTGTAATAAAGTTACTGTGTCCTGTTAGCAGAGAAGCAGCAGATAAACAGATAAACACATGTGGACTGTGCACTGTCTGTTCTGTGGGGCTATATACAGAATCTTTAATAGACCTCAAAGCAACCACAAAATGAAATGAAAGAAAAAAAGCCCCCAGTAATAAGGACAAAAAATAAGCCAGCAAAGGGATTAACTGCCCAAAGATTTTTCAATTAAAATTAATGATTTCTTGTTGCAAGGGATATCAATTACTCACTATTGTCAAGGATTTCCTACCATGTTGTCAAATTTCTACAAAAGACGACAGACTCTTCCAAAACTCACAAGTACACTTTATTGCATGTTAAAATGAAAGTCTGGACAACAATTTTTGAATCATATCTGGTTAAAGTGTACCTAAACACCGAAACGTTTATTTCACTATGTCTTCCTTGCAACAGCTTTCAATTCATTGACACTATATCTGTTCTGTGCCCGCACCACCTTTATTGTGAGGGGGCTGGCCTAAAGCAGTAATAAACCCAAAAGTGAACATTTATTATTGTGCTGCTTACAAATTCTTAGATGTGAGGGCTGTGTTATTTTCCTTTTTTAGGCTTCATTCTTCATTCTATTACCAACCAGTGATCTAGCCCGTAAGTAGAGCCGGTACGTCTGCTAGAAAAACGAAGCCATTCTTAACTTCTCTGCAGATGATGGTATCTTCACTCTGCATAATTGTCTTATTTGTTTGAATACATGACAGTATTGCATGTATCAGTGAAGTGTCGGCTCCCCCTAGGATGGGAAGTGATGACATTAGCCCAGGACCCCGGGCGGTCAGCAGTCTTTGATCAGAGGATCAGTCCGTGCATCTCTGGTATACACACTGACACACACGATCTTCCTGCTATACCAGGGAGCCAGCTATTGACCGAATGGGGCATGTCCAGTGCTGGCTCCGCTTTCTTCTACACAGCTAGAGCCAATCAATAGGCAGGGGTGTGCTCTGGTTTCAGGGTTAATCCTATGTGAGTAGGATGATCGGGGCCCGTTGTGTATGAGAGGGAAGCAGTATAGTGCTGGAAGGCTGCCTGTCCTCACTGGGAGCTGCAGCCTGAACTTTGCACCCCCGCTCAGAGGTGAACTGAGCCTAAGGGGATGATGGGTTATGGAGGTGATGGGAGGAGGAGGGCGGCAGAAAATGGTCGGGGTGAGGGGAGTGGATGCTGATTGATTGTGTGGGATGCGCCACATCATGAATGATAGTTCAGCTGAGGGGAGGGGCAACAGTGGGGGAGGAAGAAAGGACAAAGGAAGATGCCGGGTGTCTGGGGCAAGTGTAGCAGCTGAGCTGCTGCTCCATCCAGTGTTCCTCTCAGACTCAGTCCCTTACTGCAAGCTGGCTGGCGGCTGCTAATCACTGTGGAATTTTGTAACTCTCTCTCTTTTTTTATGTTTCTCTGTCTGATTGGTTAATACGGTTAATTTATATTTGGTTAATATATATTTTGTTTTTAATTTTGGTGCTGGTGGTGTCTTTTGCCACTTATTTTTGCATATTAAAAGAAATTTAGCAGTTTCATGTTTTGTTGATTTAATATTTTCCACTAGTTTTTAATTAATTAATTAAATAAATACTTCATTAATGTTCTCGGGGGGGGGGGGGGGGGGGGGGTGACCAAGCAACTGGTCTTGCCTAGGGGCGCAAGATGTTCGAGCACCGGCCCTGCCCATAAGTTTGTTGTTTTTTAACAGAAAAACTCCCTTGCAATTACAGGAATGAGACAGACCATTTAACACTGACAGGTGTGCTTATGTCCAGTATGTAAAACCTTTATCCCAAAAGGAAAAACAGTTTGCTATAACTGATTTTAAAGTATTCGCTGAAGTTCAACTTCAATTTGTTACTGTATTCAAATCTGCTACTTCTAATACTCTCCTTGCCCCAAACTGACAATGCAGCTTATCCAAATTTGCCCCCTGTGCTCATTTATCCAGAGTGGTGTCTGTATAATACAGGAAAACGTACATATTTGCTAGCACACCATGGATCTCCAAATATGGTCCAAAGAAGTTTTTATTGCAAAGGATCACATCACAGATATAGCACTATATTACATTTTTGTTTTTTGTGTTTAATACCACTTCAACCAAGCACCCCATATTGGCTCTTCCAACCCTGATAGTCATAGTTCAAACGCCATGCAGTACATTATCATATAAAACATTTTCCTAGGTGAATCTGCACATAAATTCACCTGGACTGAAAATCTTGGAACCACAGCATTTTCTGGGAACCCAAACACCATTTCTAGTGGCAATACATGGTTAACATATTGACAATATTGAAAATACATGAGCAACAAAGGGTTAATGGTGGCAGTTTTCAAGTGAAAGACAGTAATGTCAATACATAAGCAACTGACAGATTTGAGAATAAACAGGCAAAAAACTGACAATGATAGCAATACAGAAGTCACCTTATTGTCCAAAGGGAGATGCTGAAGGAGGAGCTGGAGACTTTCCAGCTATAGTGATAAACTGAAACACATTCTACACAGGGGCGGACTGACAACTCATGGGGCCCCCGGGCAATAGGAGATCATGGGGCCCCTGTGTCCTTGCCCAAACTCAAAAAAAACCTATGAAAAAGGTACCAGGGGCATCTCATGGGGCCCACTACTGCCCTTGGGCAGTGCCTGAGTTTCCAAATGGTCAGTCCGCCCCTGATTCTACGCCTAGAAACCCATATGTTTCATGCAGACATTAGTCATTAAACTATAGGAATTATTCTTTTCAGACTTCATATCAAAACAACAATTAGTAAATTGAGGTCATCTCTATGAACCAGAAAAATATAGAACAGGTGCATATACCATGAGTCATTTTCTTCCTTTCACATATACACACACTCAAGAAAAAATGTAGTATATGATTCTTTATTCACCTCAGATAACTTATGAAGCAAGCTAACTGTGCATATAAAAAACAGGAAAAATAAACTTTTTTCCTGTTTTTTAGATTCACATATTTACAGTATATATCACAGGATATACTATAAATATTGCATACAAGTGTTTTTTTTTATTTATGCACTGCACTATTTGTGAATAGGTTTGAGAAAACCTTATGTCAAGAT